TATTAATTTAATTTAAAGAGATATTTATATTTTTATTTTTATTTTTATCACTTGAATTGAATAAACAGATATATAATTTAATAAAATAAAAAATATTAATAAATATAATAATTGTACTGATGGTCATAACTGAGCCACTAACCATGACAATTGAGTAAATATGAATGTTTATTGACTATTTTTCATTTTTTGAGAAATGAATGTCATATATATTTTTTATTAAGAGAAATGAATGTTATATTGATTGGTCACGTTTTTTGAGCCAAATTTCAAAAACTAATGTGAAACTTCTTGATGCCTACTTCACATGACTAATACAATAAAAATGGTGCCCAAAAGGGTGTTTAAAGTGGGTAAAACATAAAACCTTGAGTTGGGATTCTTGATACTTATGATGGGCAGGGAAGAATTAAGAGAAAAAATAAATATCTCTTATTATATAACTTATTATTTAATATATAAAAAAATAATCTTAATCCTCATTTAGCTCTCTAATTTATAAATTTTAAGATTATTTCACTTTATATAAAATTTTAAGGATATTAATCCCTCAATAATATATTTTGAGGAATTTCCCTTATTTAACGAATTTGAAATGCACATCAACATTTTTATTCTATATGGCATGCCACCATAGCAAAATCTTAGATTTTTGTTTTGACTTTTTTCTTTTCTCTCTCTCTCTCTCAATTTGTTTTTATAAAAAATTTAATATGATAAAGTGAGATTTGTATTATATTAATGGAGAATTTTTTACTGATTGTTAAGTGGCATGTGATATAAAATAAAAATATTAATGTATGATCGACTATAATGTAGACAACGTTTAAGTAATAGTGTGTACTTTAAATTCATTAAACAAAGAGAAATTCTTCCAAATTGTATCATTATGGGACAGATAATCTTAAATTTGTATGTATGTGCTAATAACCTTAAAATCTATAAATTAAAGGGTTAATAAATACATGGTTGAGCCAAAAAATACCATAAAAATAGTAACATTAACACAAATTATTTATCGCATCAAGAGATGTTTTATTTAGTAGGAATTTACAATTCTAAATTTCTTAATTCAAAATTTGAGACACCTAGAAATGATATAAGAGAGGTTATGCTACTGTATATTATAACTCATCATTGAATGAGCTAAAAAAATAATTGAAAATTCTTAGAGATTATGATAATTTTTAAAAGAGTTTAATATTTTATAATTTAAATGGTACTAAATTGTAAAAATTAATTATTAAACGAATGACCTTCCTCTATTATTAAAAGAATAATGATAAATGAGATCAAAATTTGAGATTAATGACATAATATAAGTCATGTCATTTAAAATATTAAAAAATATATTTTGTATTATTTAATAATTGACTCTTTTTTTAAAAAATTTATAATATTATATGTATCAAACTAATTTAATAACATGTCGTAAGTTACGTTATTGATTCTAAATTTTTATCCTTTATATCATTAAACTTATTTTTGTTTTTTAAATCTTAATTATATAATAGAAAGTAACTATTTTTTATTTCTTATCTCACTTCACTTATATGTTATGCGATTTAAATTTAAAATCTTTTACTTCTAATAAAATGATATTATTATTGAATATTTATGTCGATGATAATTTGAGATGTGATTAAACTTATTAAAGATCTCTTTGAATATAATAATTAATATTTTATAATTAAATATAATTAGAGTGTTATTTAGATTAACTTTTTCAATATAAATAATAATTAATAATTAATATTTATAATTTAAAATATTTAATTTATTTAATTAATATTAACAATTAATAACTGTTATTAAAAAATCAAAACAAACGTTTGCATCGCACTTTTTGTTTTAAGACATTAATTCATTATTATAACTTTTATTTTATTTTTTTGATTTTGTTATTATAACTTCATTTATTTAGAGGATTTGATTGCAAGTTTCCATTATTGTATTGATGATGAGGTCATTGACTAGTCATATATACTAGTGTTTGTTATTTACGCTCAATCAGGAAGAGAGTGAGGAAGAAGGGCCTCAGTTGAATTGAATAGATAAAAAAAACCAATAAATAGAAAAGGAAAAGAAGAAGAGGAAAAAGAGTGATGAGACAAGAGATAAAAAAGATTGTAGTGTAGTGTTGTGTTGGATGGTCTGAGTCACTGAGTCCTAACGACTAACAACACGCCCACGATAGTTGCTGCCAAAACACACCCCAACCCTCAAGGCCCCATCTTTAAATTGACAACTCTCTCTTTTCCCTTTTATTAATGAATCACTGTGCTCCTGTCTGCTCTCAATTCTGAAAATCTGCAGTCTTTCTCGCACCAAAATGAATTGAATGAAAACACAACTGAAAAATGGAATTTCATTGGTTCATTCTTTCTTCTACCAAACCTTACTGTAATTATGCACAGATATTTAGTATTTTCAAGGTCTCATCTTTAATGGGTTTGTTGTGTGTATTGTTAAAGTTATCTTCTTGTTTTCAACTTATTCAGCAAAACATTAAAGATTGTTTTTTTTACTTTATTGTTTTCTGGTAGACCTCAGTTACAGTGGAAAAAAGAATTTGGTGATAAAAAGGAAGGAAATTGGGAAAAAAAGTAGAGAGAGAGAGAGAAAAGGGAGTGGAGATAAAAGCCGATAGATGAGGGTGGGGGTGTGTGGGTTCTGTACTGTCTTAGCCTGTCCCCCCCACCCAGCACAGTCCCCTTCCCCTCTTTCCTCTCCATCTCTCTCTAACAGTCCAAGTCCAAAAGCCATCACCTCATTGGCCTTTTTAGCCTTTTGTTTCTGTGCTTACTCTATGCAATTGTCCATGTCTGCTGCTGTTCCTGCTCCCTCTTCTCAGTACCTGCAAATGGGAGAGGAATCATATTTTGAATTTCTTGTTATTATTTGACACCATTCTCTCTCTGTGTTTTTTTTTTCCTTTTTTTTTTCCTTTTTTTTTTCTCTTATCTTTTAGCATTCTGGCTGGACATCCTCCCCCAAACATGACTTTCTTGGTGTTTTCTATTAATTTCTTCTGCTCCTCTCCGGCTTTTTGCTTTGTGGGTACCCCTAAAAATTATAAATTTCCTATGATGAATTGACCTCATTTCCTATTTCCTCTAGTTTTAGCTTTCTGGGTATACCATTTGGTTATTATTACCCTGTTTGTCCCCTTAATTTCTTGGTGTTTTGTCAGCTGGGTCTGGTGATGTGGCTGTACTTCCACTGATAGAATCCATACTGCGGTTGTGGTAATGGAAATTGATCTGAACCATTCAGTGAATGAGGAGGAGAAGAGTGCACTCTGCAATGGGGACTGTGAAAAGGGAAGTGGTTGTGTTCACTGTTTGTCCTCTTCATCTTCTTCATGTTCTTCAGACTCATCTTCTCCTACTGGGTCTTCCTCAATTTATTCTGAACTTTGGCACGCCTGCGCCGGCCCTCTTACTTCGCTGCCCAAGAAGGGGCACGTGGTTGTCTACTTCCCTCAGGGACATTTGGAACAGGTTGCCATACCCTCTCCCTTCCCATCCATGGAAATGCCCACCTTCGATCTCCAACCACAAATCTTTTGCAGGGTTGTAAATGTTCAGCTACTTGTAAGTACTGGCTCTTTTTCAACATTCCAGGTCCCCAATTTCACTTTTCCTGTATCCTATATCCTAATTTAGTTTCTTTGACTTCGATCCCTTGAAACAGGCAAATAAGGAGAATGATGAAGTCTTTACACAGGTTACTTTAATTCCACTGCCAGAGGTATAATTCTTCCCTGACACTGTTACTTGTATAATCTGATGAATAAAAATTCTAACTTCTTTTGGTATTATTTGTGGGTATAATGGGGGTTGTGCTTTGTATCCAGTGATTTGAATAGGATTTTCTGTTAGAATATTCTTCCACTGTAAGTGGAGCTTAGAATTTTCTTCATGTTGATTTCAATTTTGGGCGCTGTGTAGTTGGTAGGACTGAATTTGGAGGGGAAAGATCTTGACGAGCTAGGTTTGGATGAGGAAGGAGGTGGAGAGTCACCGAGAAAATCCACCCCCCACATGTTTTGCAAGACGCTGACAGCTTCTGATACCAGTACTCATGGGGGGTTCTCTGTTCCTCGAAGAGCTGCTGAAGATTGTTTCCCTCCTTTGGTATCATTTTATTCATTAATATCTCTTATATTTGATTAAATTGCTGCTCATTCTAGCTTAGAGTTCTTGTATCTTTGTTTCTTTGATGGCAGGATTATAAACAGCAAAGACCCTCCCAAGAGCTTGTTGCCAAAGATCTTCATGGAGTTGAGTGGAGATTTCGACATATTTATAGAGGTAATTCAGATTTTAGTAGCCATTTTGACATATTTATAGCAGGGCTTCTTTTTGATTTTTAAGTGGAGGTAAAGTTCATCCAATTTTTACCTTATTGTTTTTTCAGGCCAACCAAGGCGCCATCTCCTAACCACAGGATGGAGTATCTTTGTGAGTCAAAAGAATCTTGTTGCAGGGGATGCGGTGCTGTTTCTGAGGTGTGGATATACAATTTGTAGATGCTTATGAATTTTAAATATGTAATCACTTCACTTTGTGTTCCATAAGAGATGAGGGCTAAATACCCTCTTTAAGTATAGGAATTAGCAAAATGGGGGAAATCATTAAAAATTTATATAATTATCACCTGAAAGAGTATAAGTAGAACAAATCAGGAAATGCTTTGATTCGATGAGTAGAAGAAATTTTAATCATTCTAGTTGTGCCATGTTTTGTAGAGGTGAAGATGGAGAGCTGAGATTGGGAATTAGAAGAGCTATCCGACCAAGAAATGGCCTCCCTGATTCCATTGTTGAAAAACAAAATTCTTATCCGAACATTCTTTCTCCTGTGGGTAATGCAATATCCACCAGGAGTACATTTCATGTATTCTACAGTCCAAGGTAAGTTTCCACATTTGTTTGGCTCAACCAATTAAGAGAAATTTAAAGAGATATCTTTGTTGGTTTACTTGCTTCTGATTTCATGCTACTAATAGTCTTAACCTCATGGTGTTGATAGTAAACAAGGCAGATAATATATGTGGTTTCTTCTCTTTTGTATTCAATTGCATTCGATTCCAAGGGGTTAAAATTATTTTGAATATTTGCCTCACCTTTGAGATTCAATCAAGTTCTTGTATCACTTACAAACTTGTTTGAAAATGCCTGGTGATGCATATTTGACCAGAAATTTTAAGGCTATTCAAATTGATTAAATGCAGGGCCAGTCATGCAGAGTTTGTCATACCCTACCAAAAGTTTATCAATAGCATCCGAAATCGAGTATGCATTGGAACTAGGTTCAAAATGAGATTTGAAATGGATGATTCACCAGAGAGAAGGTCTTGTTACAATTAGTTGTATATCATTTCCACAATAATTTTCTTTTCTTCGTTTGTTGAGAATATTTTACTGTTTTTGCTCAGATGTAGTGGGGTAGTGACTGGAACCAGAGATTCGGATCCCTACAGATGGCCTAACTCACAATGGAGATGCTTGATGGTAAGGTTTGTAATTTTGATTAACTAACTACTTTTGAAAATGTTCTCTACTGTTTCTACAAAAACATCATTATTTTTCCTTAGAAAAGGGAAGTGTAATCTGCATGCACCTCACTTTACCATTGATGGAGGGGGTGGGCCCCCTGATATTGAGGACCCACCCCTCCATCAATGGTTAGAAGTGGTGCAGTCTGCGCTTTCCTTTTCATTTGTCATGATACTTCTAGATTTACATTTTTCTTTCCTCATCACCTAGTTGTCCTGGTTTATATGTTCCCATTGGCTAGTGTCTGCCTATCTTGGTCAGATGTAGGATTTTATAGATGACTAAGCCACCACTGGAGACTGAAGTCATCACTTTAAGATGCACATGCATATACATGTTTCTTCAGTGTGTTATTCTATGGGAAAAGGAGATAAGAAAAATTATGAGATGATAAATGGGTATCAGTCATATCACCTTCTTGGGAATAAGAACCTCTGTGCTAACATGAACAGGTAAGATGGGATGAAGAAGTTGTGAACAGTCATCAACAGAGAATTTCCCCTTGGGAAATTGATCCGTCTGTTTCTCTTCCACCCTTGAGCATTCAGTCTTCACCAAGGCTGAAAAAACTGCGGCCAGGTCTGCAGGCTGTCCAACCTGACAACCCTGTTTCTGGTACAAATCTTCCCTTGGAGTTGCAAACATGTTGCATTCTTTATATTTGATGTGCAGGCTTACAATGTTCTTTATTGCAGCTGAACAGGGTGGGTTTTTGGACTTTGAGGATTCTGTAATAAGATCCTCTAAGGTCTTGCAAGGTCAAGAAAATGTAGGTTTTGTATCACCCCTTCATGGATGTGATACTGTTAACCGCCAGCTAGGTTTTGAGATGCAACCCCCTGCACATCAAAATCTTTCATCAGCTGGGATACAGAAGGCAAATATTAATGAGCTTATGAGGGCTCACTCCTCTATTTACCCAGGCTTTGTGGAATCTAATAGGTTTCAGAAGGTCTTGCAAGGTCAAGAAATTTGCCCATTGAGATCTCTGACACAAAAGGCTGATCTCAACCTCAGTTGGGGAAAACCCAATCTCGGCTTCAGTACTTTCAATGTGCATCAGGCATCTAAACCCAGCTTCCTTCCACTAGCCTCAGAAGGCCTTCGAAGTATGTTTTTCCCTTATTCTGATCGGTACAGAGCTGTTGAAGATTCCATAATGAACTCTTATGCATCCACCTTCCCAGGAGGGAATGTGTCATTAAATGCTTCTTCTGCTGAGCCTGGGGCTATGGGAGATGTAGTTAGTTCTCCTAGTCTACTGAACAAGCACAAGCCTTCAGAAAGTATTCCAAAACCTGCTCTTAGAGCAAATATGAGAAACCAACAGGATGATTGCTTCAAGGGTAACACAGCTGGATGTAAGCTCTTTGGGTTCTCGTTGACAGGAGAACCACCAGCTACAAACTCACAGAACTCTGGTAAGAGGAGTTGTACAAAGGTAAGCTAAGAGTCAAAATTCCACTTCAACTTTCCTTGGCTTCTCATTCTTCTCTACTGACACTACAGTGACCTACTTAAGGTTCACAAGCAAGGCAGCCTGGTTGGAAGAGCTATTGATCTATCGAGACTGAATGGATATGATGACTTGATGACTGAACTAGAACGACTATTTGGAATGGAAGGGCTTTTACGAGACCCTGATAAAGGATGGCAGATCTTGTACACTGACAGTGAGAATGATGTCATGGTCGTTGGAGATGATCCATGGCAGTAAGTATTACTCTCCCTACACTATTGCTACCTTGTTTGTCCCATGATGATGACAATAAGTGAGTCCAATGTATGTTTGCTCCTTGTGGTAATGAATTTCTAAATTGGATAATCACTGCAGTAACTTGTTAGATATTTTGGGAAAATTAACATTGGCAGTCCGGCTGCATAGAATGCTTATCTGAGGGGCATGCCTAGGTTGAAGATAAATGATAGGATAAACTACTGAACAAACAACTTAACGAGATGAGCTAAATTACCATCTTTGTATCCTATGCCTCACCCTCCCACCATCCTCCCTAGTCCCTACCCCTACTCCTGTTTCTTCTGGGGGGAAATGATGCTCATTTGTTCTTCTGAAAATCTAAAGAACAGTGAATTTGATTTTTGATTCTGCTGTGAAGCTCTATTGTCCTTAATACAGCAATTTTTTTTGCTGGCAGTGAATTTTGTGACGTGGTGTCCAAGATCCACATATACACCCAAGAAGAAGTGGAGAAGATGACCATAGGAGTGGTCAGTGACGATACTCAAAGCTGTTTGGACCAAGCTCCGGTGATAATGGAAGCATCAAAGTCCTCATCAGTTGGCTAGCCAGATTCCTCTCCAACAGTAGTAAGGATTTGAGGATTGGCTTTATCAAGTAATAAGTATGGTCTTCGCCATTATGTGTGCACTCGTTATTGAATCCTAAACCCTTTTTGGTACCTCTTATCTATATGTCCCATGCTTAGTCGTGGTTATTATTAGGGGAATGTATTGGAAATTAGAAGTTGCTGTTGTTGGCCTCAAAGACATTGATAATTGAGGTTGATTGAAGTGTTTTCCTCTCATCAACTAAGTTTGCACCAGTTCATTAGTAATGCATTATCTCCTGGTTCGTCATGAACATTTTGAATTACATGTGGGGATGAGCTTTACCACTAGGAATTTTGCTCTTTCCTTCTTTCAAATTCCGCCCAACTTGTCTTGAGATTCAAACCGGATACATCTAATTTAAAGTTATCAAGCCCATTTTTGTTGATAATTCTTTGATAGCAAAATTTATATTCCTATTCCTTTTACTTTTAGGGTGGCGATTATAATTCTCGTCCTTTATAAATTAGGCTAAGGATGGTAAAGAAATAATCTGCACCTCAAATTTGAGTATAACCTTGCCATCATAAGGTGAGAATTTATTTTTCTGAAATTAAGAGTGTCTTTTCTTCAATGGACTGAGATTTTTACATCTCGGAGTAATATTATTGGAAGGTAAATGATACAAGTATGAAAATGAGGATGCTTCAAACCTCTCTCAATGTTGCTTAAAGAGCTCACGACCAATTATCATTCTTCTAATCTCACTGGTGCCTGCCCCAATTTCATATAGTTTGGCATCACGGAGAAGACGGCCTGTTGGGTACTCGTTCACGTATCCATTACCACCTAAGCATTGTATAGCCTGCAAAGTTGTATTGAGCACATGAATAAATGCTCTGGTGACAAATATGGCAAAATTCATAAAGACACATGACATGATCCACATGCCTAGAGCATTGGTTGGATCCAATGAATATTGGCGCTTTAGGATCAAGGTTAAGATATAAAAGGTGGATATACTGAATCAGTCAAAAAGCAACCCATGATAGCCATGGCAGCAGAAAGGAGAAGAAATGCACGAGAGCATCATCCAGACAAAAGAAAAATAGGAAAAGAAATTTATGGTGTAAACAATAGAAATGGGTTGTCCTTTCACCTGCAGAGCAACTTGAGTGGCTCTTTCAGCTGCACAAAGTATAACTCCAGCAGTGTCCTGAAATTTTGTATAGAAATTATTATGGTCCTTCTCTTTCTATAAAAAGAAGAGGACAAGGTAAAACCTTAAGAGAAGTAAAAGAAGTCAACCTTAGGATCAGTTTTCCCATTGTCGCAGTCCCTTGCAACTGAATACACATACGACCTAAAAGAGGACAATAATTAACTAATGCTACATGAGAATCGAAGCTTAGAAAGAATAGTGCATCATTAAGTTGAAATGTTATACCTTGATGATTGTAGGGAAGTATACATGTCTGCAACTTTCCCCTGTAAATGTAAGGCAATATCAGAAATCTTAAGATTCCAACACATGCATCACTTGGACAAAATCAATCCGATGGTTGGTGTCAATCATAATTAAAAACCTGTATAAACTGAAATTCACCAATAGGACGACCAAACTGTACTCGCTCTTTGACATAAGGAAGAACAACATCAAGACATGCCTGCATTATACCAAGGGGTCCAGCAGCTAAAACAAGTCGCTCCAAATCTAGGCCTGACATCATTACATAAACTCCTGAAAGACAATGAAGGAAAAAGGAAAAGCACCATTAATGACAGTATTATACAATTATAGTTGTATTTAGTCACACTCACAGCAGAATCACAAAAACACAACTTGTCATTGTGGGCACCAAAAGTATACAGTTAAACTCCTCAAGAAATTTATTTTCTTTTCATAGTCTAGTATTTTTACTCCTTTAAAATCTATGTCAAAAAAAGAAGAAGCTATAAATTACTAAAACCCCTGGGATCTCTTCATGCAGCATTTCTTATATATTACTATAGGATATCTGATAGCAATCAAATGATCTCCTCCTTTAAATAAAGGTAATAGTTTAAAGTAATGCAAAACCTTTTCCTTCTGTCCCTAGGACATTTTCTTCTGGAACAAAGCAGTTCTCAAAGACAAGCTCACATCTGCTCAGACCATCATCATTATTAGTATGATAGAAAAATGGAGCAAGGATGAACTCCAAAATAGATGACTTCATTTAGCACACTGTAAACCTACGTATCACTTCCTCGCATCCCGAGTTTGTCTAGTTTCTGAGCAGTGCTGAATCTGCAGGTTCACAATAACAAACTATAAGAAAATCAATAATTCAAGTGCCAGTTTCACTGCCTGTTATATTTCACACTTTAGATGCAAGCTTGATATATCCTTTTAAAAATATAATTTCTACATGATTGATGTAGATGATGGCTAATGTGTCCACATTGTTTGTAATAAAAACTAGGAATTGCTTTTACTAAGTACTTCAATTTGTTAATAAAAAAATTCTGCAGGTGGACAAGGCTCAGCATTATAGGTTGTTACAACTGACAAGTGAGAACTAGCTACAGGTAAGAATAGAATTTGGCTGTACAGATAAAATGAAATGGCAGACCAAGAATTTGAGTACTCTTACGTAAAAGGAAAACTTGGTTTTACACAATTTTTGGATCTTTACTCAAAAAATATCTATAACTTGTCCATTATTTGAAATAAATAACAAAAAAGTAGCTATCAACGTACCCAGGCATCCCCTTCTCAATGATGAATGCTGTAATTCCTTTTGAGCCAGCACTGATATCTGTCTTTGCATAAACAACCTGAAACATTGCATAAATCAGTACAAACTTAGACGCATATACAAAAGATTTCTGCCAAAGCAAAAATGTGTAGATCAGAGCAAAGCACCATATTTACATGTTTGCGTTAGCTTGTCACAACCAATAAAGTATGCTATAGCCAAGCATAACAGAGCAAAGGTTCTAAAACAAAATACCAGTGTCTGAGCAACTGGACCATTAGTGCACCACATCTTGTTCCCATTTAGAACATAACCCCCATCAACACGATCAGCTTTACATTTCATGCTAACAACATCAGAACCAGCTGCAGGTAACAGAAAACAGATCAAATAGATTTGCTGCCTCAATGCTATTAAACAAAAAAAATATTAAAATGTTCAAGGTTCTAGTAATATACCATTTGGTTCGCTCATTGCAAGAGCTCCTACATGTTCCCCACTGATAAGCTTCAGAAAAAGACAAACTCAATAAGTCAACAAGAAGAGAAAAGAGGAGTTGGATGCTGGGGGCAGGGTGGTCAATTTGCAGAGAAAACCACCTTCAAAAAAGTGAAAGAGGCAAGATGCTATAATAACACATAATTTAGGAGGAAAGGAACATGATAAACAGATCTCCACTACAAACTTCAGCTTGACAGCAGATGAATATTCAAAATACAGGCCATCCAAAATCATTAAGGTAATTCAGGGGAAAAATAACCTTTGGCAAGTACTTTGATTTCTGTGCTGGGCTTCCATTCCTCACCTACAAAACCACAAAAAGTTACTCTATGACCCATAACAAAGCATTATATCATAGCTTGCCAGCTTAGTTGATAGTGTACCAACTGATTGATGCACAGATTCGAATGAGCACCATACGAGAGAGCAACAGACCCTGAAGCACGGCTAATTTCTTCCATTGCTATACAGTGATATAAGTAACCAAGACCAAGTCCTCCATATTCCTCTGAAAGAGAATTGGAAGTGAAAAAAAAAAAAGAACCAGACAACAAAGTGGGACATTTGAATATTGATCCAGAGGGAATTCATTCTTAACAAGTCATGCTCTTTACAAACGTTCCTGAACTGTCAACAGATGAATTAATTTAATCCTATACAGTGCCTTTCAGGTTTGAACACTGAAGAATAGATAACAGATATTCTTGAGTTAAACTTAAAGATGTAAGAACTAGTCCATAGGGGCACATTTCACATTCACAGAAAAAAGTAAGGACATATAATTCTAAAAGGAAAAAAAACCTTGAAAGTATGAAAAAAATGCTACCTGGTGCAGTTATTCCATGAAGATTAAAATCCCCCATGAGTTTCCATAAGTTAACCTCCTAAAGTATGAACATTAAATATGGTCAAAATCAGAACTTTGTTTCAATGACGATAAGTATAACATCAAAACTCAAAAACAATAGTATTGTACAACCTTGGGGAAAGAATTTGTTTGGTCTATCTTCGATGCATAAGGGGCAATGTTTTCTTGTGCAAATTGCGTAATACTTTCTTTAAACTGTAAACATTACAAAACGCATTATCGGAAGAAAAACACTCCATCTGAAATCTAAAATATAAAAAGAAAAGGAAAAAAAGAGAAATTTATTACTCAAGAATGGCAGATTCCTTAGCTCAATTCGACAAGTATAAACGGTATACAAAGCTAAAATTACATAATATTTTGCATATCCATCTTCAATACAGCATACGAATAGATGAATCAACGTGGTAAAACCTTATAGGCTTAAGGATTATTTCTGAATTCTGAATTGGACAGAGATTATCAATAGTGATAAAAAAACATCGCAATATCCAATTTAATCCTATTCCCGTTCAAAGAATTCTAATGAAGCAACGAAGCAATCGTATTCAATCATGAACTCAATAAAAATGGCGTTTGGATAGAGAGAAACCTGCAACTGAGTATCATCGAAGAGTAACGAAGTGGAGAAAGAAGCACGATGTATCTCCTTCTTCAAAACCGAAGCACAGAGAGATCTGGCTGAACATAACCTCTGCATCCTTCACTCTTTTTCCCTGCGAAGTAAGGATTTTCCTAAGAAAAAGATATAATTGGAGAATGTTTCATTGTGTTAAATTTTATATCAAAATGAACATGATGGAGTTTTTTTTTTTCTCATTAAATTACAATTATTGATGAAATATGTTTTATTAAAAAAAAAATTTTCGACGACAATATAAATAATTTAGTAATAAAATGAGAGGAAATAAAACATAAAAATTTTTAAATTTAAATTATATAACATATAAATAAAATAAAAAAAAAATAAAACATAAAAAATATTCCCTCTTATTATCCAATTACGATAAAAACAAAAGTAACGTGCTATTCCTGCAATTAAAATTTGGCGAGTAGTGTAGAAAACATTATATTGGGTACAATTGTTTAGCATGGAATAGTATAAAATAATTTGACATACCAACCAATGGATTTTAGAATTATGTTGTGTTACGGTACGGTACTCATGTAAGTGTTTCAAAACAAAATTTGACATACCAATCAAGCGTTTCCTTTGTGCCATGGTTTGTCTTCGGTACAGCCCAAAGATCAGACTGGCACGTATGTCCGGATTAGGACAACTAGATAAGGATTTTTTGGGTGTGTGTTTGTTTTTTTCCATTTTTTGAATATAAAAAAAGATCAAGTGCCCTAACATGAAAGGTGCATCTCACATTGGGCCTGCATTTAAGTAAATCTAATTTTGAACCAACCCATCACACCAATTGATTCACCATCGAAACCTAAAAGTTTGGGCTCAAATAAGTTGGGAGCTCTACCCTTATTATTTGAAAAAAAATTCTCCCTTTTCCAAATTTTCTCATGTTAAAAAAAAAAAAAGTAAATTTAATTTCAGTCTTATCTAGGCCTGGGCATCAGTCCGCTTGGTGATTGAATTAACCAATATCGATGGTTAACTAAGTTTTTGCTTAAAAAAGTAAGAACCAGTTATTGAACTAGATTAGTGTCTATTGTCTTGGTTTGATATCCTTTCTTTTTGGTGTTGTTCTTTTTGGTTTTAGTGGACACTGAATTAAAGTAAAAAACAAAAAAATGTATGAAACTTAATCAAATTAGAATGCAAATGCCAACTACTCAACCTATAATATTATTCTCATATAATTTTCCAAATTCTATCAAAAACAATAAAACATTATTAAAAAACTCATAGTAAGCTTAAATAAATAGCATAGAAAAAAAACACACATACACATTAGTAATAGAAAATACCATAATATTTATGATTACCATAAGAGTTGATCATGTTCTACCGCTCTTGAAGTTATGAAGACTTCAAGAAGTCATTTACAATTATAGAATTCCACCATTAAAGAGAACGTAGATGCTATACAAAACACCAAAAGTCATGTGTCGTGTAGTGGGCATCCCTTCTCAACAAAAAACAAAAGATGAGATGCAACATGTATTTCCAATTTCCTAGACTTCCAACACCAATAGAAAGGTAGTGCAGTAACATCAAAGCAAGATAACTTTATATAAAGAAAGAAAGTAGCTCCTAAACCTTTATCAATGATATACAAAAAAGGCCACAAATTGTAAGCATATCTATAGTCTAGTTTATTTTTATGATAAGTGTAAATAAACAAGATTAGTTTACAATAATAATTAGTAATTAACTTCAAACGTGAAACCAAGAGACAATCTTAAGTTAAACAAGCTAAAGCTAGTAAAAAAATTTGATTACTTTGCTCACAACCCTACTACAATATACATGTTTTACTTTGTCATGCCATAATGGTGGAATCTAAATGAAGTTTATCAAAACTTGACATGTCAAAATAATTTAATATGTTCACGATTTGTAGAAGGCTATATATAAGTTGAACTGAAAATAATTGAACATGGACAAAGTTGGAAGGGAAAAAAGCATTCTCCAAGCTTTCTAATAAATCCAACTCCTCCAAATCAGTGACATCTCTAGAAAAAAGAATACAATGTTAAATAATGCATAAACTAGTGAATATGAAAATTGAATAAGTATAGTACATATACCTTGTAGTCAACCTTACCAATCTTGACAACAAATAAGTGCTTAGGCCATTTTTGGGGTAAGTGAGCTTCTAAAGGCATCAAGAACTATTCCCCCACTAGAGAAGGTAGATTTTGAGGCAACAATGGAGATAGGATCCCTAGCCATGGCAACTAGAATAGGAAATCTAGGTGCATTCATCTTCCACAATTTAAGGATATTGAAGTCCTTAGAATCTTCAAGAGGGTCCTCATTCAAGTATCTATCAAACTCTGTTTTTTTTGTAGCCCCACCAAGCTCAGCTTTATACCTCTTGTAATCTAAAAAAAGTTAACTCTTATTTCTTGTAGATGACCCAACCTCATTGCTTACCACATCAGAATTTCAATTCACAGCAAAAGTTTGTTGAGAGTTGCTACTACTTGACCCACAATAACTTAACCTCTTATATTTTTCAAACAATTTTGTGCACTCCAGCTTGACTATATCTCTATACACCTTTCCTTTATCCTTTCTAAACCTATTGCACAAAATCAAGTTGCACCTTGGGTCAAGCAAAGTCGCCACAAAGATGTTCTTATTCATCTTTTTTGAATCTTTCCAATACTTGTCATGCTTAGATCTCATACTCTTAGCCATTACAAACAAATTTACATTGCTCTCCTAGTCTTTTAGTAAACAATCAACTTCAAACACTGTATGAAAGAAAAGATTGGTAATGGTGTATAAAGTCCTTGACACTTTTTGAGGTAAGCAATAGAAATGCTTTGAAAACTTTACCAATCTTCTGTAGTTTTCGACGTACCAGTCAGTACAAAAAAATTGGTTTGTACAACTCAATTCAAATTTTTAAAAAAGGTAAATTTCATTTTTGGTCTTCAACTTTAATGTTTTACATAATTTTCATCATTTAACTTTTTAATGTACTTTTTTAGTCCATCAATTATGAAATTTTTTTTTTTTTAGTTCTTCTATCAATTACTCCATTAATTTTGTCTAAATAAACATATTTTTTAGTCCCTTAACTTAAAGTGGATGGACGAAAAATATGCATATATTAGAAGTTGAGGGACTAAAAATGGTCATTTTAAACTTGTTTTCAACTTATACGAATATGATGGTTATAAGTATTAATATCTCTTATCTTATTTTAAATTTTAATATTTAATTTATAAAAATATATATTTATAGCAATAAATTCAAAATGGTACACGAAAAATTCTGATACCCAGTACGTACCGTTTCAGTAGCAAAACCGATACACATGTCGGTACAATATTGACTACCTTGGGAAGAAGAGCACGATGGAGACAGAGGCTGGGGCTCCAATTTGTTGTGGTGGTCATGGTTGGTGGTTGGCTGCGTGCTGTTAAAAGGAATCAGAGAATGAGAGAATGAGATGGTGAGATGTATGTAAAATTAATTAATTTGGGTTAGGTTTAGCCTTTTATAGTTAGGGTTAATGTAAATTACATAATTTCAAGAAAATAAATAAAATAAGTACAAAATAGAAAAAAATCTTAATTTGGAGGGAAGTAAAATAATATTTTGAGTTATAAGGGGAACTGAATTTTTTCTTTTTTTTTTTAATCTTTGGAGGGAATTTATCCCTCTTAAAAAGTCTCCCATCAATGAAAAAATGGGCTAAAAGATGGGCCAAAAACAACCTTTTGGACCTCGATTTTTTTGATTATCAGGAGGTTGTCATTGAGCTTTAGTTTTTGGGCTTGCACATCGAAGTACACCCAAATGTCCCTCAGTTTTTAAGCCGATGTCGCCCAAAAAAACCCACACTTGAGAATTCGAGAAGAAAGTCACCAATTGTCAGTCGATTCCTCAATTTTTGGTCTGTTGACTGAAAGTTGCCCATCCCTACTCTTATCCATCACGTTGATGATTGCTATTGGTTCCATCCATATCCAAAAGTCAACCTAACTGATTCGTGGGATAACTAGCTAGTGTCTTTTAATCTATTCATGGTGAACCATTGGGAAACATGTAAATATTAGTAGTGGTGGGTACGGTTCGGTTTTAATTGTAATTAAAATTAAAGTATTGGTTAATTTAAGGTTTAGGTTTTAAATTTTAATAATCATTAATCAAATAATAAATGATGGATTTTATCAATTTGAAATTTTCAGTTACAATTTCTTAAAGTAATCATTTGAATCAATTTTGGTTTTAATTGAAAATTTATTTTTATATATTTTTAGTAATTTTTGAAATTACTTAATTATTATTTTATTAATTTTAATCAATGTTGTTAATTTTTTTTCATATTGATTGGTATGGTTGGTATGTATCGATTTTTTTATTAATTCAAAATGATACAAGGTTCAATTTCATTTCGGTTAAATTTTTCTCATTTCGATATATCAATCGGTATTTTAACGTATCGGTCGATACACTAAAAATTGGTGGTTATAAATCAATTCAAATTTAAAAGGGGTAAATTATATTTTTGGTCCTCAATTTTAATGTTTTGCATAATTTTTACCATTTAACTTTTTTATATATTTTTTTAATCTATCAATTATGAAAAATGTATTTTTTAGTATTTTTATCAATTATTATGTTAAGTTTGTCTAAATATGCATATTTTTAGTCCTTTAACTTAAAGTAGAGGTACAAAAAATATGCATATATTAGAAGTTGAAGGACTAAAAATATGTATTTTTATTTTCCTTTGATAATTTCATATTTAGATTTCTAATTCTTAGTGCTTATCAGTTACTATTCTCTGTAATGTTTTAGTTTGTCTTTTGCATTCTTATTACATTTAGAAAACATGATTTCTTCCCTTATGAAAGTATTTTGTATTGCGAATTGTATGATATTAAACTCAGAACACTATTATACTTTCTAATATTATCATAATATTAAAAAAAAATAAATTATTGATGTTTTATAAAGTTGGTCATTTTAAACTTGTTTTCAATTTATAAGAATATGATGGTTTTAAACATTAGTTTCTTCTATTATTATTTTAAAATTTGATATTTAGTTTATAAAAATATATATTTATAGTAATAAATCTAAGGTTAAAACCCTTTTTTGGTCCCTGAACTATTGTACGGACCCCCGGTTTGGTTCCTAAACTAAAAAAATCCCTGATTTGGTCTCTATTGTTTACCATTTTTACCCCGATTTGGTCCTTCCGTTAAAAATTGTATGACGTGGCCTGTTATTTCACGGTTACCAAATGACATGTCATGCAGTGATCCATGTGTAAGATAATATAGCCAAAAAGTGATGATGTGGAAAAAATAATAATATAAAAAAATATTATGAAAAATAAAATTTAAAATTTTTTTTCTTTTTTCTTTTTTCTTTCTCCTTCTCCTTTCGCTTTCCCTTTCTCCTTCCCCTTTCCCTTCTCTTTCCCCTCGGAACCCAGCAGGCTTGGGTTCCTTCGAACCCACCCAGGCGCTGGGTTCCTTGCGAACCTAGCACCCTTGCCCGGGCTGGAACCCAGCGGCGAACCAGCTGGGTTCCATGGAACCCAACCCTGGGTTTCGTCGAACCCAGGCATGGGTTCAACGAAACCCAGGCGTGGGTTCGAAGAACCCAACACACCTGGGTTCCTTGAACCCAGGGGTAAAAAAAAATATATTTTTTTTTTCTGTGGGTTTGGTGTTTGATGACTGTGGGTTTGGTGTTTGATGATGATGAAGAAAGCAAGGCAAGGAAGAGGAAGGAAAAAAAAAGGGCATTGTTGGGTTCAATTCAACCCAGGTGCTGAGTTTGTTTGGTGCTGGGTTTGTTTGTTGGAGGAAGAAGATGATGGCAAATTCGTAATTTTGGTGGGCCCTACTTTTGTTGGTTTGGGCAAAGACATGACATGTCACGTTGCCATGTCATTATTTATTCATTTATACAACTGACGTATCTCAAATGTTTGCCATGTCATTAAATTGTCGTGAGATAACGGTGAGATTTTAACGGAAGGACCAAATCGGGCTAAAAATGGTAAACAGTAGGGACCAAATCAGGGATTTTTTTAGTTCAGGGACCAAATCGGGGGTCCGTACAATAGTTCAAAGACCCAAATAGGGTTTTAACCTAAATTTAAAGCAGTATGTGAAAAATTCTGATATTTGGTACGTACCGTTCCAATAACAAAACTAATACGTATGCCAGTACGATATTTATGACTTTGATTTTAATTACTAAAAAATTAAAAATTATCTAGATAAATAAATAATTTATCATTATTTCAAAATTTGATATTTAGTTTATAAAAATATATATTTATAATAATAAATCTAAAATAGTATGCAAAAAATTTTAATATTTAGTACGTATCATTTCAATAGAAAAATCGATACGTATGTCAGTACAATATTTATGACTTTGATTTTAATTACTAAAAAATTAAAAGTTATCTAGATAAATAAATAATTTGGTCAAAATGACTATAAAACCTTAAAAAAAATCTAAAAACTATTAAAAAATTTATAGAATAGGCTTTTAGTATAGATTTTTCGATTATATTAACCCTAGTCATTGTTTTTTTGGTTTTTAGACTTAGTAATTAGAACTCAAACCATTTAAAATTAGTTTAATTTTGGTTTTAGTTAAACAAATTTAAAATTCAGTCAACTTCTATCTATCAGTTATAATTTCATTAATTTATAAGTTTTTTTCCATTATGGATTTTTTGACCCACCCCTAAATGTTTGCAATATACCTCTATAACATGACCATCAATCATATAGTTTGATGATAGAACTGTCTATACTTTAACTACAAATATAAGATTCAATTCTAATTTCTACATGAAAATAAATAAATAACTAAAAATGAAAAACTTATGAAAAATGGAGGAGCAAGAGTTCGGACATCCATCGGGAACTAACCTCACTCAGGCACTGCTTAGAGGTATCGTCTGCAATGCAATGGGAAGACGGTCGTTATTACAACTGGTTAAAGATGAGATTACATATTCAACCCGAAATTTGAAGTGTAGATTGTATCTACAATTTTACATTTAATAGAGTTAATACTTCTTGGGAATAAAAGCACTTTGTTGTATATTCGGATCAGCTCTACCATGTATAGCAAGTACTTAAATCTACTGCTTTTAGACTCTGTAATCAAATATTATGCAAGATAAGGCTTGACGTGAGCTTAGCATTCCTTAGCCCCTTTCATTCAATCTTCTCTGAATCTTGAGAATTCAACCGTGAACCACGTGGTTGGGTGAATATTAGCCGGTTCTAAAAAGTTAGATTGATCATTTCCAGCCAAGTTGTCGGTTCAAGCTTGGACCAAACTGAACCAGTATCTTCAACCAAGCCCATAAAACAAGCTCTAAATGGATAAGTAATTACAAGCTAAATTAGGGGTGATCGGTACAAGTATGGGTCATTAATTTCCTTCAACATGTACTTCACTTGAATAATGACATGTATAATATTTTGACATCATGTACTTATTTAGATATAGAAAATCTAAACACGTTACTCAACCTGTTAAGTATAAGTGTATTTATATATTTTTTATATATTAAAGAATTAATTGTGTAATAATACAAAAAATTTGAATTTTTAACTTTAATTATAAATTAAAAAATTTAAACTAATAAATATCAATTCTAAACTAAACTCTTATTGATATATCTTTATAACCATTGAAGATTATAACTTTTAACATTAAAGTCATTCCTAATAAAAGTGATAGAATAATTCCAAGTATTTCAGCCGAAACAGCTATGCACGTTTTCAACTTTATATTTACTCATGTTCTGGCGCGGTCGACCCAGACACGAATGGGTCCATGCA